TAAAGTATCAAACATAATCAATTTTGAAGAATTATTCAGAAACTTGTCTACAAAAAAATAAGACTTCAGTATATAAGTTGTACCCATAAAGATTTAGAGCTGATTGATCTTAATTAACATAACAGCTGATCAAAGATTACTTACACACAGCATGAAGATAACTGCAGGATGTGACAGAAATGAAGGAGCGATTCCGTGAATATCTCCCTGCACGAGTTTTAAAATTGTAGACCCACTTTTAAACCGAGCACAGCAGAAGGCCAGATGAGAAATGTCTTTTCACGGCTGGTAAATGTCAAAACCTTTAAGTGAGGAAATTCACATTTCTAGTCGCTTGCAGAGCAGGCCTCTTATGTGTTCAACAATATTGGTATGTCCCTGAGGGTTAACTAATGACATTTGTACCTCTTAGACGCATGATCATCCCTCTTATTCAGCCTTTTTTGCAAAGTTTTTTTTCTCCTGACTCACTCGTAGCTTTTGAACTCTGGTTTTTGTTTGCTTCATTCTTCTGTTTCTTTTCCTTTTCTGCTGCTGATCTTTCTCCCTTTGATTCAGTCTGTCCTTCATCCTACCCCTCCAGACCTATTCTCTCTGGTGAGCCTTGTTTCTAGCATCAGCCAAGGCAACACAAATTCAACATACAGGAAGCAGAATGTGGCTTTTCAATCCACACTGTAAAGCAAAGAGAATGAACGTCAGGCGGTTGTATACGTATATCTCTACCCTCAATCTGTGCGATCCTCAGAGCTGCCTCAGCGCTCAGGTATGGATTAAACCTCAGACATGATTGCCATTCAGAGGCAGTTGGTGCAGGGAAAGAACTGGGTTTAATCCATGTTTGAAAGTGTGGCCTCTGGCAAGGTAAAAAAAAAGAAAAAAAAAAAAAAGGCCTCTGCAGGTTGGATGGTGATGGATGAATAGTAATTAAAGTTTTAGCTCACATGGACAACACAAAAAAAAGTAGGAAGCAGAATTGAGGAGTAGGATATTTGTCTTTTATTTTTGTTGGGAGAACTGCCTGAGGCTGAGTTGGTGGTTGGATTGTGCAGAAGTGAGATTTTATAGATGTGTGTTAAGGGGTTAGAGAGGCTTATGCACATACTATATCTGCTCTTGCTATGCCATAGGCTAGACTGAAGCTAAAATAACAGGGATGTCAGGATGTGATTTCCTTATACAAGGCTCAGAAGCTTCCTGTGATTCTTGTTAGTGAAGACTACATTGAGAAAGATGAAGAAAGCTGGTAAAGTCAGCTCCACTCGGATTCTTATGCCAGCTGTAAAATGAAATGAGCTGTGTGAAGGATAGCAAAGCCTGTGCATGAGGTGCTGTTTGCAGAAGATGCCTTTATTCCAAGGAAAAGGGAAGTGAGTTGACATAACTCAAGTTCAAGTTCAGACCTGCAGCTCATTGTCACTCTATATCATAAAGTACATGTAAATATGGATACTGTGGGAGATAATATTAATCAACATGCAGACTCACTCCCTATGAGTTATCTGTCCATTGCTGCAGGGGAGTATTTACAGATAACAAACATCTCTGAACTGGAAATGAACACATCCAAAATATCAAGCTCAGCTCAGTAGCTATATAAATGAAGTGGTTTACTTCTTCAATAGATGCCAGTGCTTATTTTATATACAAGTGGCTATCACCTCCTTTATAAATTATATTTCCTTTACTAACCTTGATCTGTCATATCTTTAGTTCACCATACTGGGAATGCTTAATTGCACTTGTCTTCCAGATGTCACATAAGTTGTTTTGGATGTTTGTAACTGTTGTTTTGATTTATTTACCAGGGTTTTCCAGTGAGGATTTTAAAGCTCCTGTGAGGAACATTTGGTTTGTGTAGATTTATGCGCCTCCTGTGGTACTAACATCCAGTGGACTGTAAATGTGAATGGACGAAGACTGGGTGACGACATCCGTCTGTTACTGCAGGGGGCTTTGGAGTCTCATGCTGGAAATGCTTTCACCTAACTTTCAGGCAACCTAACGACAGGCTGAGAGCTGGAGCTGAGGCAAGTTTTTAAGCCTCTTGACAAACCGTTACATCACACCAACCTGTCAATCACGTCAGCTATTCACCTTGTTTTAAATAATGCTTATCCTTCATCCACCCATACAGTGTTTGCAGATCAAGGCATGAGCTGATTAGACCTATTAAGATTTTTTTGTACCAGGCTGTAAACATAATGTACATTTCTGCTTTAAAATCTGGGTTTTTTAACACACCGTATGTAACTTCTGGTGCTTCTGCATCAGCCTCAAGCGGGCAAACTGCAGGATTTTGCACGCATCTGCTTCCTTTTTCAACACCAAAGGTTGCCCCTTGGGTACAAACTAGTACATCTTATCATCTTACATCTTTGCTGATCTTGACCATTACATGCGTAGGTTGTGTTTTCTGACAAAAAGAAAAGTCCTGCTTCCTTTGAACAGTCAAATATATCAATTATTGTGAATATTTCCGTGGAAATGTAAAATAAAGGCTTTCTTCAGTGTGCTGCTTATTCTCAGTAAAGTCATTGATGGTCCTTTTTGCTTTTGCCGTTAATAAAGAGACATCTCAACATCAAATTCAGTCTGTTGCATACTGCAATAAATTAAAATTCCCCATTCAAGGCCCAGAAGCCACGGTAAAGAAACCGTGGGTGTAGCAGGTAAAAGAACAGCCTCAAAAAAACAAAACAAGCATTAAGATTTTCAGGTGACGCAAAAAAGAGAAAAGAGAAACAACTCCATTCCTCCCAGAAATGTTTATCACATGTCTGGATTTACCCATAACTTGTTCTTCTTCTTACATACACAGACTAAGTTGATAACAGAGAACAAATACTACTTGTTCATGGTGAGTGGGCAGTTACTGCCTACACTCTCTGACTCTACTAAGTGATACTTCATTTCTTTTTTTTTTTAAAGGCAGTCAGATTTCCTTTTTTTTATCATGAGTTTTCTTACGAGGCTAAGTATAAAGCTTAACAGAGGGTACTTGAATGCTACATTATACTTAAAATAAATCTTTCCAGTGTCTATGAGTATTCCAGATGACACGTTGTAAATTATAAGTATGCTGAAGTCAAATGAGAGCAGAGACATGTCAGGAAGTCACAGGACTTGTTGTAACTCCCTTTTTACTTTAAACTTGAGGATTGTATTAGTTCTGAAGGGTTTAAAAGCAGGATCACTTGACAAGTACATGCACATGTCTTACTACCTAATGCTGCATATTTATTGTACTGATGTTATTTCTCTGTGTTCTGGTCTGTTGTATGTTCTTTAGGAAACGTTTATGATGCTATCTCAGGCCAGGACACTCTTTGTCAACGGGATTTCAACCTTCTGCTAATATTAATATTACTATTTCAGCGTTTTTCTGACTTACATTTGTATTATTCCTTTTATCTCTTTCATTACTAATTGATGACCTTCTTTTCTCTTATTTTAGTTTTATACTAGCTGAACAATCGATGTGGATTTCTGTTGTTATTCCCTGTCTGTTGTTCCTTTGTGAAGGTCTTCGGGCTGCATGCTCGTATGAAAGGTGCTGCATTGAGTGGAGTTACAGTACAGCTCACCTGATTGGAGTATCTCATGCTGACGTTGCGTTGATCCTGGCGGGGCACATAGCGATGGACAGGATCAATGTCTTTAGGGCTGATCAGCTCATCCACTGTGAAGGGAGCGCACACACACACACACACACACACACACACACACACACACACACACACACACACACACACACACACACAAAATATATAGGATTGAATGATGAAAAGCTAATTTATATTATTACTGACCACTCTTTATATTTTCTGATGGCAATACGCAAAAAAAGGTGTAATTATTTAAAAAATCTATAACAAGAAGGTCATATTAGCTTTGTTCTCAACTTGTAGACACATTTTAATATAGCAGAATGATTGTGTGGATTCAGAGTATCAACACACGCACACACGCACACACGCACACACTCTTACCCAGCAGCTTGGCGATGTTGAACAGAGCCTGGCCACACAGGAAGAGATTCCCGTCACGGCCTGAGTTGCTAGGGAAACGCTTCTGGCTTCCATGCTTGTTCTGCTCCGCCTCCACAAAGTCAGCCGGTACGTAGTAATACTTGGGGATCACAGCGTGGCCTGGAGGAGAGACAAGGAGAACGAGCTGAGTGTGTGAGTGTACTTATCTTCACTCTTCACGAGAGATGAATCTGAACCACACTCCTCTAGTTATGATGAAAGAAATATCTAGAAGAAGATTATCTTCATGTTTAGTATGAAAACAAATCTGCCTTCATAACAACTGTATCGGTGAAACCACTTGAAATCACTATTTGAAAACTGCTAAAATCAACTGTTTTTATAGAACCAGGACGACTCACGCAAACCGAGAGAGCGAGAGAGACACTGAGAGAGAGAGAGGGAGAGAGAGAGAGACACTGAGAGAGAGAGAGAGGGAGAGAGAGACACTGAGAGAGAGAGGGAGAGAGAGACTGAGAGAGAGAGAGAGAGAGAGACACTGAGAGAGAGAGGGAGACACTGAGAGAAAGAGAGGGAGAGAGAGAGAGACACTGAGAGAGAGAGAGAGGGAGAGAGAGACACTGAGAGAGAGAGGGAGAGAGAGACTGAGAGAGAGAGAGAGAGAGACACTGAGAGAGAGAGGGAGACACTGAGAGAAAGAGAGGGAGGGAGAGAGAGAGACACTGAGAGAGAGAGAGACACTGAGAGAAAGAGAGGGAGTGAGAGAGAGAGAGAGAGAAAGAGGGAGAGACAGTGACAGAGAGAGGGAGAGAGAGCGAGAGAGAGAGAGGGAGAGAGAGACAGAGAGAGAGAGAGAGTGAGAGAGAGAGAGAGAGAGAGCGACAGAGAGAGAGAGAGTGAGATAGAGAGAGAGAGAGAGAGAGAGAGAGACAGAGAGAGAAAGACAGAGAAAGAGAGAGAGTGAGATAGAGACAGAGAGAGAGAGAGAGAGAGACAGAGAGAGAGTGAGATAGAGAGAGAGAGAGAGAGAGAGAGATAGAGACAGAGAGAGAAAGACAGAGAAAGAGAGAGAGTGAGATAGAGACAGAGAGAGAGAGAGAGAGTGAGATAGAGACAGAGAGAGAGAGAGAGTGAGATAGAGAGAGAGAGATGCAGCTATTGTAAGTTTGAGAACCAAAAGTGTGTTTTCAAACATCTGCCATCATGAGTAGAGAATAAACGGCCATGGAGTCGTTCCTGAATGCTTGGGGAAATTATTTCTGCCAATTCAGTAAGAATTTAGAGGTGCAGTCGTTAAAGTCAGTGAAGGCAGCAAACTAATTAGGACACACAGTTAGAAAAAGCCCGCCACTATAGAGACACATGTTCAACATTGTGGCTAATCTTCTGATTGTGTTTAAAGAGGGCTGTTCAGTGATCTTGTCTTTTTTTTGTTTTTTTATCTGTCCATCCTGACTTTTTATTCCATTCTCACTGTCTTCTTCTAATTCTTTATTTCACACCATCTTCAGAGAAAAAGGTCAAAATAGAAGCATTAAGGATGGCTGTGAAGGGCAGTCAGTCGATGCTCGTAAAAGAAAAGTGAAAAGTCAGGTTGTGGTCTCTATCTGACTGTAACTAAGCAAAGCTGTACATTTCATTTAATGTCACATCTACCTGCTCACAATGGCAATTCTAACATGCTGACTTCTTTGGGGAATGACTGTCCTTCCCCATGTTCACATTAAGATCAAGCAGTTTTTCGGATGCTAATTAGGACTTCATGCAGCAGAGGTTGATGGGAATGTGAAATGTGAAAGCTTTCCAGGTATACTCTCAAGTAATGGACAAATTAAGGTTTGGCTTTTAGTGGTGGCAGTAGAAGCAGAAAACTCAAGAAGCACTAAAGTTATTATAAATTATCCTCAGTGGAGTATACATATCAGTACCAAATATAATACAAGTTCTTCCAACATTTATTCAAATAAAATCAACGCTTCAACACAGAAGGCTGCAGACTTACTGGCTGAGTAATTAAGGGATATTACATGTTTGTAAATTCATTAATAAGGCTACACTTTCAACACTTCAGGTGCATCATTATGCCATTGAACGTACATGTAGAAAGGGTAAAAAAAAATCATGAATGTTTTTCTATATGAGACAGCCCCAGTTGTCATGTGTATACCGCAAATACACAATTATTTATTACCGATATCTTTAAGTGAAACTCAATATAAATCCAAGGTATTTCACGGCGCTTTCACATCTAACCTGTTTGGTTCTGTTTAAACAAACTCAAATCTGTTTCTCAAGTTAGTGCGGTTCAATCACGCCGGTGTAAAGGTTCCATGTCACCAATCGATCCCTGGTGTGGACCAAACAACCTGAACGAGACAGCTTGAAGAGGTGGGTCTCGGTCCGCTTTCTTTTGGACTCTGGTCTTCGGTTCTTTTGTAGTAAGAACATGAACTGACCTCGACCAATGCTCCAGGAAGCATCTTCTTCTCTGTTTCTGTGATTTTCACCGCAAGGAACTGTGATCAATTAGAGAGCATTTTCCTAGCAAATCCAACATTTTGGTAAATGTCCCCATGTGATCACGGATCAAACTTGAGGTCATAATGTAACAATCGGTCCCTGATTCAGATCCACAGCAAACACACTATAGGTGTGAAAACACCCTCAAGCAAAAAAAAGAAGAAGCAAACTGAGATCAACTGTAGGTAACATTGCCAATTAACTAGAGTCTCCCAGAGGTGCACCCTGCATGTGTCTGTGTATCGTCAGAACAATGGCAGCCTGGGACTTGTGGGAGGTCCAGTTATCTGCAGCGGAGCATACATTTTGCAGCACCTGACTGCAGCAAATACCCTCTGGATTTTAGACTTTCCAATGATATTAATGGATCAAGAGAAATAATACTGCTGTGTTATCCTTTCAAACCCAGCCAATTAACAACAGGAGTTTTGTTAATTCCTACGCAAGCGCTACAAAGACACCATGGAGACGTCCGTAAGTCAGCACAGTCTCACATCATTATCCTTCTTACACTCCAATTACTTCTGATCTATTATGAACCCACCAATATAATCTGCAATCTCTTGACATCCCTATCATTTGACTGTCTCCCCACGCAGCGGCGCTTGCAGGTGGATATAGAAGCCAGCCTCTTCGCTCTTGAGGAAAGAACGAGTTCACTTGAACGAAACGCCCCCTTTGACGCTCGGTCACAGTGTGCGGTGCATGAATATGGATGATGTGATTTAATAAGAGAAACTTTTTCATTGCTAGAGAGGATGAGAACAGAGGATCAGAAGTTCCAGAACTAACCATACTGATGTAATGTGATGTGATGTATTGGTGCATTCCTAATTTCCACTTATTCCTCAGTGCCTGCATGTGTTTGTGTTTGTGTGTGTTTCTGTGTATTCAGTGATTACTCACCCTCGTAAGACTGGAAGATAATGGGTTCAAGCAGTTCCTGGTATTCTTTGACCTGAGCTTTGTTTCCTCTAAACACTCCTGCAAGACACAAGAAAACAAAAAAAACACCCCAAACACACATGCTATTAATGAGACTATTTTTAAACCTTAAATATTAAACTTTTTGGCACATGTAGTCAGTGGCTGAAAAATGCAACATTTAAATTCAACAATAGAAATTCCAAAAATCCAACAGTTTGTGTTAGAACATGGTAATAATTTGCAGAATGGGGCAGCACATTCAGTATGTATAGATGTATGAGGTGACTGCATACATATATGTGTGTTCATTCGTTTCCTCATCTGTGCTGTATGTATCTGAATGCTGTACATATCTGACTGCTTGTGTGTGGCATCAGTCTGTATGTATATCACTGAATATATTGGTTTCTTTTTCGATTTGTGTTTGCATTCTCATGTTTGCAGTACATGTGCACATTCTAAACCACTGCATTTCTGCAGTTATCAACTCATCCCTTCATTCTTGATTATGATTTATCTGTGATGTCATTTTAATTTTGAGCATACAGGGATTGAGGATAATGTGTGCTTCATAACACACATTTGAAATCTACAAAAATATGTTTTTAGAGTAAGTTTTCAGAAGGAGGAGGCCATAGAGGCGGTCTGACCATTAAGTTGTTCCTTACAGCCTTTTTCAAATATTCACTTTTCAAGAAAATTTCAGGCAGCCTGCCCTTAAATATTCCTGACTATAGCTTGTTCAGATATCCACTTAACAGCAAGAGACTTTCCCCTGTCAGATGGGAGGGGCGAGGAGGGTCTCGGGAGGCAAGATATGACGTAAAAGAGAGCAACCCAGAAATTGTGAACATCGCATAACATGCTTTGGAGACAAGTTTTGCCTTTATTTCAATGCTAGTTTGTGACAATTGTGAGACAATCACAATATCAACACAAAGTGCGGAGAACATCAAACCAGAGAACAGAAGACATAATGAAGCAGTTTCATTATGTGCACAGAAATCGCATTGGTCGTGCACTGGCAGCAGGATAGAAACCTCATCTTACCCCCTCTCATTCACATTTTCCTAAAAGTTTCCTGCTGCATTCTCACATCGGCTCATCCTATCTTAACGCGGAAGATTTCCTATGGAACAGGCAGGAAGAATCCCAGATAGAGTAGAGTGAAAAATGTGTCCGTTTGCAGCTCAACCCCAAAAGTTTGGGGACATTTTTTGGAAGGTTTTGTGTGTATTTGTGAAAGCTCTACAATAGTGTTGCTAGAGTTTTCACTTTTTCAGAGTTCTCCATGAATCTTGGATGCTAGTGTAGTTGATGGAAAACCCCTACCCTGCAATACACACAGAGTGCAAGAGGAACTACAATGATGGTTGGGAATGATTTGGGGTTTTGTTACCACCTTCTCATGCATGCAGTAACTAATACAAATCAAAAAACACTACAGTATATCTGAGTTGTGCCTATTACTATTCATGACTGGTAGGTCTAAATGTAATGTCATATTTAAGGCAATGCTGTTCAGAGACCAGTACAGAAATAAACTACGAGGTGAACTTCTTGCACAGACTTTTTAGTATGTTATGATAGAGACAGGAGAGCAAGCTCTAAATCAAGCTGTTTCCTCAAAGCATCGGTAGACTAAAAATTGCCATGCGGCTGATGAAAACAAAAACGCTTGTATGCACTTTTTATATACAGTACAACTTATACTTCATTTTTGACAATTCTCTTAGGTTTAAAAGTCACATCTGGAAGTCACATAAAAGTCGTCTCAAATCTGCAAACACAAAAATGTAATTTGATCTGAATGTACATGTCAGTCCTCTGTCTTGACAATGACCCACTGGAGGCATCATAACAGCAGCTATGGATGGAACAAGGCTTACCGTCAATCATCATGTAGATGAAAAATATTGGAAACTCGCACTCGATTCCATCAAAAAGCTGTGGAGAGAGAGAGAGAGAGAGAGAGAAGGGAATCATTGCTTTTTCACATCAAAAGAGAGGACAGGCACAGAGACTTAAAAGCAGCGGATGGCTGAACTTTAGTAGCACTGAATATTGAAAGCATGGTATAGGGAGAAGGTATAGAAGACGTGACACTGTGAATGAAAACTAACAGAACAGACAGGAATAATAACACTTCCTTGCAAGGTCATTTTTGAGTTTTGTTTTTCTGCAATGAGGAGGATGTTTGAAGGTCTGAGATGTCACCGAATTTATGATAGTGACAAAAACATGAAGCGTACCAGGAGAAAGATGGATTTGTGGGTATACACTAACAAGAGAATCCACTGCTCTGTTTAAAACCAGATGGTAGAATACAAATAAAAAGTTTACATCGATGCACAAAGACTGCCCACCTCTGCATTGGAGGTCCAAGCTGACTCAGAGAGCAATTTAACAACAAATACACTCAAATATGCCATTTCCCCTTCAAGTACAAAAATGGCAGGCACTTGCACAGATGCATCCATATTTAGATTGCAGGACAAATCAGAGGAGGGAGTAACAAAAGCAGCCCAAGGTCACTTTTACACCTTTACTTTTGATTACTCAAGGAAAAGTCACTGATACATTATCAACGTTAAGATCTGTTGTAAGTTGTCTTTACACTTGATCTTGACAAATGAAACAAAGGCATGCCACCAAGTGCATATTATAATCACCTGTATACCTGTATATAATCATGTATACAGTGGCCATTTTTGTCCGCTGTCTTATGCAGAGGCTCTCATGCTGTTTAATTATCGCACCAATGTGTTGCAAGTTTGGAAATCATGTTAACGTTTGGAATCCAGAAAGTCTGTATTACTTCACTGCTTGACGATTGTGCTGCAACCGTAAAGACGATTTATTGTGAAAATCTGGTTGGACATCCGACCATCAAGGTAAACTGTTTGACAACACATTTCATAGTTAATACACAACAGCTAACATTAGCATTCAACCATGTCCTGGCTAGCTTTTATCATTTGTTGATGTTGTTCTACACAATTCATAAGTACAGTAAGGAGTAAATTCACAGCTATGGGTACTGCTAGCTAGCTTACAGTAATGCTAGTTCAATGTATTTTAAGGCAACTAAAGCCAGATAACTAATGGTAATGTTAGCTCTGAAGTAGACATAGCTGGTTATATCTTGTAGTATGGCTGCACGCCCGTCCACATTAAAAGTAGCCACTCTCCTTTCAGTTGCAGGAAAAAGAGAACAATTTGTCTGACTCCCAACGCTCATACGATTTGCGAACCCAGAGTACAGCAGTATGACATTAAAAAGGCTTCACAACCCGAGTGTGACGTTAGAGGATAATGTACGCTGTGCCCATCAGGTGAAGTAGAACAAAAGAGTCATCGCTGTGTTTTTTCCTTTTGCAAACCAATTGGTAAGTTTGCTTTTCAGCATGTGATAGTGAGCATTTTCCCCTCACACAGCAGGCAGTGAAAATGAGTTGAAGCAGGTTTGTTGTGTCTCAGTCTTATTTCTTTTTTTTCCAAAGAGCAGGCAAAAAGTGGCACACATATTTTCCATGTGATATCACAACAACACTTTTTTAGAGTTTTACTGACCCCAAGAGAAATGAGCTTCAATTGAACATTAAGCTGTATAATTAATATGTAAATGTAACAACACATCTGTTGTTATTTTTGTCTGAACCAAATGAACCAAACAACAGGTGTGAAAGTGCCTTTAGTGTCTGTCTGGAAGGTAAGACTGTCGTCAGTGACTTCAGAGCACAAGTCGGCACGCAGCGCGTACCAATATTTTGAAGAAGACCAGACGACACTAAACGACACAAAAGCAAAGACTCATTGAAGACATTTTGATATAAGTCATATTTTAAAGTCTTTTTTTCCTGTCATGGTTCTTTAGATTTTTTTTTAAATATTTATATGTATTTTGTATTTTCTTTATCCTATTTCTGCCTTTATGACACATTTATGTTTGTGCTCTTATTGTTCTTAATGTTCTGTATTTATGTATAACACTCTCTGTATATGGACAATGCTTTGTAAATGAACATGCTTTGTCTTAGTAAGGTGTCGGGCCGCTATAAGCCACTAAAAGAAGGTTCTCAATATAGTGAGTATTAAAATTATTTTTTTAACAATATTTTGGCTCAATTGGTGTTTTGACAAGGCTCCAAAACCTCCAGTGGTTGTTCGGACGGCTTGACAGCTGATCACTGTGGAGGCCGTTGCATAAATATATCAAACCATCCACGGCTCCCTGTGTCAAGAGATATTATTTATGTTAGTCCACCAAATTATTCAGGTTTTTAACTTATTTAAACATTTCCACCACTTTCCAAGCCCTGACTGACTGACTGACTGACTGACTGACTGACTGACTGTTCGAGCTGATGAGTAACCAATGAATTGTGACTGTGTCGCTGTCTGGCTGTTTCAGTCGACTGCACACAGACAAACAAAAGCCAGCGTGTGGCAGCAGTTGCAGTGAATTTTCCGGAAGAAACACTTGAATTGACATGAACACCATCACTTCTAGGATTACTCTCTGAATCTTACTGAGCCAGAAATCCTATTATAGATCGATGTCATGTCACACACATACAGATCACCCATGCTCAAGACTTCACAGGTCACATGTCGCTCAGACAGTCAAGGGAAATGTGGCTTTATTAATTCAGATATTTCAATCGTTTCTTGTTTATGCTCACCTAAGGAGGATAAACACAAACACACCAAAGAAATATTAGCTCTTTTTGTACAAATGAGCCCTTTTTATTTTACACCCATATATGGACAAACACGACAAAAGAACAAGGTCAGCTTGATTTTTATTAACCTCTAAAATCCATCATTACGAAGCATGTATGTGATTTAGCCTATCTATCTGTAAACGTCATTAGCCCTTACTATCTTTGTCCCTCATCTTTTTCAATAATCTCCACACTGATATAAGATGACAGAGATAACATTGTAATGCAATAACAAATGGCTGGTTGAGCTGACACAAAGCTGGAGCTACATTCACTTTCACTAAACAGCGACATCCGTGGCCTCGACTGTGTTCCTTTAAATGGTTAATGTCTGCACCCTGTGATTATGCAGGTAGGCATGAATTCAAACTGTGTTTCAGCAGAGATGAGAAGCAATTTAGTAGCTATCAGGAGGCGAGAGACGGATGAAAGAGAGGAAAATGAAAGGGAAGAAGGCGCATAAAGAGGTACAGAAGCAGAGGAGGGTTTATTCAGAGGAGGGGAGAGAGAGTCAAAGAGAAGAGCTGAGGCAGTCACCCAGTGAGGCCTGTGCTTTTTGGCCTGTTGAGGCTGTAAACATGCAGGGCTCCCTGGGGTTTTGTGCTTGAGCAGCTCGACTGATTGGTAAAACTGTCTATCACACAGGCTGCTGCTTCCTGTCAATGGTAAACAGACAGGGCGAGCAGTGTCTGTGCAGTGAATTCTCTCTTAAGCACCAACAACAGCTTCACTCGATGTCTTCTGACAGGAGACCTGCTACACCTGAGACGGCGTTTTCTCCAGGCAGAGCTCACACTATGTCCGATAATCCCTGGACATTTCAGACCTCAGTGTGTTCACTTATCAAAGAACTAAATATTCTGCTTATTTATGTGTGTTTTATAATATGTAGGTCTGTCCCGACAACAGATTTTCCTTTTCAACTCAAGGTTTAATTAAAGCCAACAATCAACAAGTCGCCACATGTCTATGCTATTATTTTCTATACCTACATACAGTAGCTGGTTTTGGGGGCATAAGTAAATAGTTGTTTTTAGCAACATTGTTAGTTGGCAATGACCCTGTGCTACATTACAGTGACACACAAAACAAAAAAAAATAACCTTAATATATCTGACTCGTGCATTTTTGAGTCCTCGTACAAAGCAGTGGCGTATTGACTACGATGCTAAAGGAAAAACACTGATGGTTCTGAATGAGTTGGAACAAAAAGCAAAGAGTCTGTCAATGTGTTTGTACTTCGACCTCCCACCAAAGCTTTGACCCATGTCACCATTGATTGGAGATCTCTGTAGTAGGTTTCAGCTGCTGATTTACAGACAGAGTCAACGCACTACTTTAAAGTGTTTCACCAGCTGTGATTGCTCCATCATAGGCATTAAGGAACAGCTTAAGTCTTACACCTAGTTATTTTACTGTAGCTGTAGATTAAGAAGGTGTGGGCTTTATTTAACACATAATCATGATTCATTGTCAGATTTCAAATAGGGGTTCCTACATTTTTAAGCTGTTTGTCGATTTATGGCTGTAAACAGAAGTCGAATGCTTTTCACTGAAATGTCACGTTAAGTTAAAACATCAGCTCTGCATCAAGATTTAGTTTAGTTTAGAGACGATATGCTGTACTAGTTAAGATATGCCTTACGTTTCCATGGTGCAACCAAACAATAACACAAATGAAGGTACAAACTAACTAGTTTCAAGGTAGAGTTTAGTGTGGGCTTTGTACCCAAGTTAAAACAGAACTGACACAAAGCTGGTGCAATAGGCTACTGTTCTTTACACAGTCTGGATCCTAGCTGCTCATTACCACCCTGGTCCTGTAGGGTTGAAGTAATCTTGCATAAGAAATGTGCTTTTTTTCTGTCAGTGCAGCAAACAAAACATGCAACTAGTAACACAACCTATATTCTTGAACCTGAGCCTATCAAGAACACTACACTAGCCTTATAACTTATGTGACTGTACATGTTTTACTTTTTTTGAAACTCACACACAAGAAAGACTCACTTCCCATAACAAAACTGCAAGACTACGTAACATGGACATTTAACCCAACAACGCCATGTTCATACAAAAGATTGTTGTTACAGACGTACAAACAACAGGCAACGTGCAGCTCCTGGATTGAGTTAAAAAATTATGATTTTACAACTACCAATAAGAAGTTTTCAATTAACACTCCCTTTCATTAACTTACACTTTGTCGTCTTAAGGGGGAGCCCTAGTAATATGTTTTATTAAGTGTAGTATTCTATCATTGAAAAATCAGCAGTTTGCTTCAATATTTATTGATGGAAAATGGTAATCCTTAAGTAGTATTTAGTGTAGGGTGTAATTCTACCACCTGGCAGAGTTTCCTCCGGCTGCTCTGCATTTTTATTACAGGAAGTATTTACTGATGTGGCCTCAGATATATTGCTGTTGGTAGATGGGAGGCAAATTACAGCAGGAGCAATCAAGAGTCTTAAGTTATGGAACTTCTCTGGCGAGGGTTTCCTTCACAATAAATCGGTCAGCAGATGCTGGTAGAACTAGGAGCAGGCTGAGCCTGAAAGAAGATTGTAGTTAAACACTTATTGCTTCTTCTGAGCCTTAAAGTCCTGTATAGTATTAGCAGCTGGATTAAAGAGAGGTCATTTCAGATTATTGCAATTTTCAGCACCAAGGCTAACTTCTCAGATTCATGACAATTACTCAAGAGAAGATCAACCAAAAGCCATCTTATTTTACAAAAAGAGATTTTGTTGCAACTACAAGCCTCATCTAGCAATTTGTTGAAGCATGCAAAAGTCCTGCCGAAGCACAATAGAAAGATGTCTCTGCAAGCCATCAGATGGTCGATGTTTTTGGTGAAAGTCTGTTGTTAAAAATAATAAGCTCTTTTATGAAATCAGTTTTTGTTGTGAAAAACACACATCTTGAGTAAAAACAAAAATGTGTTTCTTTACTCTTTACTGTCTAGCGTTTCCATTTCAGGAAAAAGCCATGAATGCTTCTCTTCATATCTTGTGGAGTTCCCCAGGGATCTATCCTGGATCCCTCATTTTTTGTTCCAACTACGTAATCTTTGCAAGCAATACATTTAACGGATTTAATATTTATTTCAACTGCTCTACTTTAACATTTGTATTTTGTATATTTCCTGATTTTCTGAGATGATAAAAATGTTCATACTGGTGAAATAGCATCAATAAAATAAAATGGAAAAACAAACTAAAGGAAGATAAAGAAATCCCTTTGGTGTGATATTAGCACCCACCTTCATTTCAGCAGGTTTGTAGTATCTTCGATTCTTGTCTTCGTTAGCTGTGCGGTAGCCATCTCGGAGAAATCGCTTGAAGCCGTATTTGCCTCGTAGTTTGCGCACTATCTTGTCCAGTGTCTGACTGTAGAGGGCATCATCGTCAACTGCAAAGGCAGGATAGCTGATGGTCGGAAGCAAGGCTGCATCTGTGTTCTGCCAGGGAGAAAATATTTACTTTTTTTATTTTTATGGATATCAAACACTTGCATTTGGGTAATGAAAAAACACACTTTTCATATATGTATTTGACCAGAACTTAACTTGGATTGAACTGACTATGCTCTTAAAATAATAAGTCCTACCCATAGTCACTTATACACTTATACTTGTGGTTGGCTAATATAGTTGGCAGGTGTAGATGCCTTTCCCCAGCTGGGGAATGTCTTGTTAATGAGCTGCACAAAACAGCAGCCTTATTTCAAATCAAAGTCTGTCTGACTAAATTTCAGTTGGAACAATCATGAGGAATGAATATTGTTATTAAGCTTAACAAATCATTATGAACTGGCATTCATTCTCCCATTACATTTTTAGTTTAGTTTACTCTATTAAGCAAATTAAAATGACAGCTATTAAACCTCAACCTCAATGCAAACAGTGTTGAATGTTTTCACAATATTTAAAGACTGCAGCGCTTCAAGAGCTGCTGTTTATTGAAGTCCATCCTGACTGCAGACAAATGCTTGCTGAAGTCTAGATTTCAGTGCAAAATATAAAATGTAGTCAGCACAGCTTCATGTTCTGTATTGTAATCTTTTTCATATTTTGTAAACAGTTCACAGAGGAGCCAAATGCTGCTCCGTCTAGTCCAATCCCCTCTTATTCTTCGGCTTCTTGCTACAGCTACAATCTACATGTTAACATCCCCGGCAGCTGCAGCTGAAATGGGCCATCAGCTTGCAGAGCACCTTCCCTGTGGGTATTGAATGTGTCTTGAATTGTATATTGAATTCCAATC